TAATCACCTGAAATATTCACACCATGATAGGTTTACTTTATTTTGAATCTAGAAAATTGGAGATATATGAAATTGTGTCCATTCTCGGTAAAGAGGACTTTCATTTACTTCTGTTTTATTGTCAAAACATTATTCATATAATAGGTCAAAGAATTTGGTTTAAGCATTTTGATAATAAGAAAACAGAATCACGTTTAGGTATCCGTTATATTCCAGATGGTTTCCCAATTTGTGATAGTAGAAAATAAAAATGGAGAACGCAATTTATGAAAAAGTTCGAGAGAGTGTGTTTGATGGGTCTATTCACAATTGTTTCCCTTGCTGTCGGCGCATCAAACACAACCATCATGGGACAAAGTACAAAGGAAAATGTTCCAGTTTGTGGAGAATCTTAGCAACAAACACCAAATGTCTTGCAGCATTTTCTGGTTTATTTAAACATATTTTCCTGTAACAAAATTTGGGTTTTAGAACATGTAGTATTTTACCGAGTTTACAATGTTGAAAATTAGTAAGAAGTTGAAAAGGCGGGACTAGCAACCCACAGCAAACTTATGCGGACTTCCTCTAAGGCGGCCTCTATTCCAAAGTTAACTCGGAATTCACATTCACTACGCATCTAGCAATAACAATATCTTGTTCCAGTTATTCTTGTCTATCCAGAAGTCAATCTAAATCACTATATATATTTAGGGTCAAAGCAAACACCCAGAATTTCAAAGAACCGTCTTGCGTTTTCTCTCACCATTTCAACCTATGAAAGCCTGAGCCTCAGATCCAAAGGCCATCAGAATTTTTATTTGCACAGTTCTTACATGTGCCTGCTTGCGTGCATAAAGATTGACAATGGCCTATGTAAACAGAATAATATAAAACTGAACCTGACATTTAGGGTAGCATATAGCAAACTAGCTGCAGTAAGGAGCTCCGAAATTTTAGGAATACGTGACCCATTACTTGCTTATCGATATCTGTAATCTAGCATTAGTATTATTTGTGGAAATAATATTGACACACGCCTATCACAAATGAGAAAATTTATTGCCGTAACTTTGATAGACTTTAAATTTGTGTCCGGCAAAGATTTCTAAGGTAAACAGGAGTCGAGGTCAGTGACGTAATAATTCGAGAAATAATAACAATTTTTAAGTCGAGGCAGATGAAAAGCACTAGCCATGGCAGCATTGTCGGTCAAGGTCATTTGTGTAGGGTTTTGCGGCATATAACAAGGCGTTTTACGCACGCACCTTTTCAAAGGAACCGTTCGCGGCGTGTTCTGTGGGGACATAAAATTCAATCCTCTGATCCTCGTTCCCAGAACTCTATCCACACACCCACACACACGCGCACACACACACACACACACACGCACGCACACACACACACACACTTGCGTGTGCACATCTTTTTAGTCGATGTAGATGAAAAGCACCGGCATGGCTATGGCAGCGTGCCCCCCCCCCCCCCCAACACACACACACACACACGCGCGCGCGCAGCTACGGTCTACATTTAACTACATAAGAGTACAGCAGGTAATATTTCAACTGCGTCTCATTTTCTCGCACCTGTGAAACGAGAAGGGAATTAGTCGCAGCTTTCCATAACTTTGTGATCTGTTACATGCTGTGTGCAGGTGAACGCCGCCATACTTTGTGACAACTTAATGATGGACTTTGATAATGTTCAGATCAATTTTCACAAATGATTAGTAACTACTGTTTGGGTCCGGTCCCATTTCCTTGAATTACAAAATAATAATGCCAGGTGCAAAAGCTTAATGTAAATATGTATTATTCATGAACCAAAGTTTTCTAAAAATTCCGTAATACCCAGCTGACGTACACATGAGGTGTATTAGTCGCTTTGACTCATACCCTGGTTTTCAGTGTACTGACAGTAACCATAACTGGCAACTGAATAGTGTGCCTATCACAATGATAACCCCTCTACTCAGGGAGTGTAAATCATATTTAACCTACCGACTATTTGATGGTGCAGCTTTGGACAAGTTGTACAGGTATATTTTTCAATCACCCTTGCAGGGTAATCAAAGAGGTCCACAAAGTCAATGAATGGCACTCCACTCCCGTTGCCTGCTTAAAGGGGGAGAGGAGGTATATATTCATTAGTTTAAAGTACAGCATACTCCTACAAAAATATTGTGAAAAGTTTATGTTGCAGTTTTACCTTATTATTAAAATATTAAAATAATAATAATAATAATGAATCCAAATGTGTTGCAAAATAAATGGCACAATTTTTTACAAAAAGCTTTCAGACGCTAATGATGCCAACAAATAGATAAATACAAACAAGATTAAAAAGGGACAATCGTCCAAGCAAAAGTTAACTTGGGTTCTATAAGACGTCGTATTACCTGCCGTATTGTATGCTAATCTCCCCCACCACTGTGACATCTTCAGCAAACCATCGGCGACGTCAGGATGACTCCGGATCCGCTGAAACAGGTCCGTTGTTCCGCACTTGGCAATTCCTGCCAGGTAGAAATATGGTATGCACCGTAACCGTTTTTTGTTTTGAGACCACCAGGAATACAAATTGAATTCCCACGACTTAAAAGCGCCACTGTTTTTCTTAGCGTAAGGATGGAACATTCCGTACCAGTTGTCTCTGTATATTTTCCCTTTTCCAATTAAAGGATCGAAGTCTTCGTACCAACACGGGTTTTTGTATTCGGGAAGGAATTTTGGTGGTTCCTAGAATGCATTTCATACATTAAAACAAATGAGTATATGATAAATATACATGTATACTTAAATATATACGTATAAGTTAAAAAATATATCTAAATTAAATGTTTTGCGGGAAACTCTAGAGTCCGTCTGTTTAACGAGAAAATAAATAAATAAATAAATAAATAAATAAATAAATAAATAAATAAATAAATAAATGAACGTGACTGTTTGGCTTGACGTCAACAGTCAGACGAGAGCCAGTCAAGCAGGAGACAAACCGAGTCAACGTACGGGGTGCAGTTTAATGAAAATGGGTCTATGCTGAGCTGACGACTTGCTGATCTGAACATCCGACCAACTTCAAATGCACCTTGTATATAGACATGATGCTACCAAAGCATCGACCACTTCTGGGTACCTTTATATTTTACTGTGTGTACTAGCATCGTAAAATTTAATGTTATCTTCCAAATTAAAAATTCTCATGACAGGAAGTATTAAACANATCGTAAAATTTAATGTTATCTTCCAAATTAAAAATTCTCATGACAGGAAGTATTAAACATGTTTGAACATTTTCACAGATGGTGTTTTTAAAATCGAAAATATCTATTCATTCGGGTTCAACCCAAGGTAATATAAATATGAAGTGAATACTTTTGAAACATATTGTCCATGTATTCAATTTGATCTGAGTCGATCATAATGAGATAAGCGAAGTTTATTCTGCTTTCAGAGTAAGTGGATGCCACCATGTGCACTTTACCTTCAAACCTGTCATCCAACGAACACTTTTCTCTATGCTCTTCTTCATCCCCTCTGACAGACCAGCCGGAAATCGATAAGTCTCCAGATCTGATGGCGGTTTCTCAAGATTTAATGTTAATTTCTGTCCATTTTCCCCCGGGTTCTCCAAACCAAACTGATGGTGCATGGGTTTATGTTCTCGAAATATAAAATGCATTCGACGATGTTGGAATTGTCCTGAAAAGTGAACGGGACAAGGATTTATAAAACAAGTTTCCAGCTGAGCACACGTCCCACCTTCTCCTTTCACACTTATCAGAAAGAACCTATATCGTGAATATGGGTAGAAAAATTAAAATAAAAAATTTTCAATTTTTCTGGCAGTCAAGCCTTTACTTTAAAAAAATATGTGACCGACCATCTCTCAAGCGACTTTCAAACTCAAAATCCCAATTAATCAAACGTTTAAAAACCAACAAAATCTTTGTTTTCATAAATATGCTTTTGAAAAAAACATTACGCATTAAAGGCCAAGCCTTTACAATTTATAATGAGGGTGCTTTGAATAAGCTCTGCATAAATTAAGATAAGTAAATACGGTAAATATCATTATAAGAGGAAGAAATTGTTTTCACAATGGTAGCGTTTTCTACCATGGAGAGCAGTTTTATACTTCCAAACTCATATAAACCCCTCTCATCTAGGTAATTAAGCAATAACGAAGCGAACAGTGCATGTAAAATCGGTAAGAAGATAAAAAACGTCGTCTTATGTCAGACATTCATGTCTCTCTCTTAATGTTGTATGCAGTGAAGTGAAAATTAAAATGTTTTTAGTCATAAAGCGCCACGTTTATTATTAAATCGACAATTCCATGTAGATACTAAAAGTCGTTGTCAGTCTGCATAGTAGGCCTACACTTTTCGTCTTAAAAACTGCACCCTACCCCCACTGTGAAATGAGTGAACTCTCTCTCCCTCTCTCTTTATCTTAAGACTCATCGTTTGTTGCATGTTCCTTAACTTCAAATTCAGTGAATGTTTTATCTTTTCCCATAAGTTCGCCTTTTGAGTTAAAAACTTAAAAGGTATGTCTAAAGCACATTAAAATTAACTTGAAAACGCAGCGCAGTACATAACGTTCCAGCTATTAAACCGAAATAGGCCTGTGTAAAACCCACAACTTTTGCTAGATAAATATACATTAAACTTACCATTAAACCCCAAATAGGTAGTTAAACCGAAGGCTGAAATGCAAAACAGGACAGTGAACACTAAATTCCTCCCCTTCAATCCGCAAGTAAAAGGCGTCATGTTCTGTGATTGTGTTCAATCCAGTTCGGACGATTGATATGTACATGTACACGATCTTATTAATCTTGGTCCACTCAAAGTGGGTGATTCGTATTCTGTCATTAAGGCATGTTTTAAATGTCGTTTTGATTCTAACCTGAATTAACCCATACAGGCTGCCATAATTCGTTTCACCATCTTCTCCAAGAATACTAGACTAATAGCTGCGTTTCAGCTCAATCCAGTCCGTTCTTGATGCAGCATGGGTATCCCCGCTCTCGCAACTATGAATCCACCTGAAATATATAGATATCCTATGCAGGGTTGGTTTCACTGCCCTGGTGAGTAGTTTCTCGCTTGTGTTTTAAAAACGCTCACTCCCAAACGTGTTACACTTGCTCTGCCCGCTAACGAGGTTAAGAACAACACATATCTGACATATTGGTCGATTAATGTTCTTAATCACACCTGAAATGTATGGCACCCGACTAATTCCGACCTGTGAATAAAGAGAGTCAGCCTGCGATGAAGACCAGTATGGGAATATGTACATATACCTGCTAACATAAACGCCGCAGTGAAAATGCACCTTATCACCAAGGACAAGTCGGAGGCATAACTAGTCCCATTGTATTGAGTAGGATCTTTATTTGAAAGCGTCACGCAATGACTACTAAATAGGCCCTTATTCATTGTACATAAACTGTACAGGTTATTCTTGATTCTACAACGACTCCTAGACTCCAGGAAGCAATATGTGAGACGAGCATTCTTTGCAGCTATATAAATTATTATTATTATTATTATTATAGTGTGATGTTCCATCAGTCAGATTATCAGACGAGAATCACGAGACCTTCAGTATTTCGACGATCCCCATCTACGTAGATCTTGATCACATGTTACCACGTGCCTTGACGTGCACCTCTAAACACTGGCCATGTGTCTGTCTGAAACAGCATACTTTCTTCATATTACTTTCTTCATATAAAATCGATGTAAAATGTGCTATGCGACTACATACACTTAAAAGGTAAACGTTCTTAATTTCTACCTACCCGTGCACATTGTCGTGCTTTCTGTGTTTTCCAATGAGAACCCAACATATGGTCATTCATTTATGCACCGTCAATACACGTTAGTTTCACCAATACAGCATCAATATGCGTTATATAATTTAATAAGAAAACGTTTAACTAGTTTAGTTTAGGTTTCAATCAGTCAATCACAGACTTCGCTTCTCCAGAACTGACGCTGCCAGTGCTAGATGTGACTTGTTAGTGTGATTTTACATCTGCGTCAAAATATGTCGACATAAGAATTGTTTCATATTTTCAAATGTTCCAACACAAATCTAAACTTTTAAAGGTAAGTGTTAAGATTTTTTAAGAAGTGTCAACATACATTAAAATAGTCGATCCCATATTAGCGATTCATTCTAGAGAGGTCAAGTAGATATTCTTTGGATCGATCACTGCTTTTATTGTTAAACGAAGCTTACAAAAAAACACATATGCTTAATAATTTTCTATCAGCACAACAGAGTAAATCCCAATAAATACATTTTATGCTACACTTGTTATAGCTTTTCACTTTGAACACTGAACAGATATCGAGCCAGTTTGAACAGCCACCACAAACCCAATCAATAAGGCAAATACATACCCACGGTAGGATGTGACGCGTCCTGCTGAGAAGATATGAAATAGTTGTCATCAAATATAATTCAGGTCCCGATCATATTAATAAGAATAATTCAGCATATTCCAGCTGTATTACGTTTCAATCGTTGGTGAAGAAATCAGGAATATATTGTTTTCAAAAGTATTTGTTTTTATTGACAACGACATTGTGTTAGCGGTGCATTGCACCTGATAAATGGACCTTGCGGACTCAATGCCTGTTTAGCTCTGTCCAGAAACCTAGAAAATAGCTGAGAGAACAGTTTCATTAGCTCTGTATGTATAAATTCAAATTACTGTTTTTCTTTTTATCAAGAGCTTGTAAAATATGTGGGTATTACCTCCAATATTTCTGTGACACCAACAAGCCTGAGGTTAAAATGTACAGTAAAAACAGAAAGAGCCAAAAATATCATCAAAAAAGCAGAAAGAGCTCTCCTGAGGGAAAGAATCAACATCACCAACCAGAGAATAATAGAGCTGAAAAAGGATAAGAATGTGCAGGCAGAGAAAGTGAAAGAAAGACTTAAAGATGACAAAAACATATATGACATTACATGTGACATGGTGGACAAAGTGGGTGAAAAGGAATTTCAGAGGTCCAAAAAGACACAAATAAATAAACTCAACAAGTTGACTAACAAACATATAGAAAAATCAAACACTGTAACTGAAGTTGACCTAACAGGAACACAGCTGAAAAAGTGGGTCAAGGTGTTATCTAATTATCAACCTACTGAAGATGAAATGAAGCTAATGGCTAAAGGGCTCAATTATGCTATACATGTAGCACCAAGCAAATTACCTGTGAGAGATGTCATCATACAGACTGAAGTGGCATGTCAAAAATTGAATATAGAACAAGCAGCTAAATTGAGACATGAAGTAGTAGGAACGTTGAGATCCAGTAACCCACCCAAACCAAATTTGACCAAAGGGGAAAGAAACGCCATAAAGTCCCTCAAGAATAATAAGGACATCATTATAATACCAGCAGATAAAGGGAAAGCAGTGGTTACTATGGATAGGAATGAATATGAAGAAAAATGCAACAACCTGTTGAAGGACGAAACAACATACAAACAATTAGCAAAAGACCCAACACAGAAGCTGAAAACAAGACTTATCAACAAGTTGAAGAACATCAGAAAAGAGAATAGAATTGATGATGCCACATACCAGAAGATATACCCTACAGCAGAAGTGACCCCCCGGTTCTACGCCACTCCAAAAATACACAAAAAGGACAATCCTGTCAGACCAATAGTATCCGGGATAAACTCTATTACATATGAATTAGCAAAACACCTAGCAAAATTATTGAAGCCTCTAGTCGGAAAAACAAAATACCATATACAGAACTCACAACACCTCGTTAAGCTGCTGAAAGGTATAACACTTGAAAAGGATGATACACTTGTATCTTTTGACGTTTCCGCCTTGTTCACCAGCGTCCCGTGTGATGAAGTAGTAGGAATGTGTGTGAACAGATGCCAAAAAGACACCACCTGGGCAAGTAGAACAGCATTAACACCTGAAGACATGGGCGAACTACTAGCTATGACCTTGGACACCACCTACTTTCAGTACAAAGGAAAATTTTACCAACAGACCTATGGAGCAGCAATGGGTTCCCCCCTGTCACCAGTCATAGCTAATATNAGGGAAAACTGGACATTCCAAAGAAAAATAGCAGAAGCTGTACACATCAGGACCAAACAACCAGACCTGAACAGACAGGGGGGGTATGATTTACCAGCTATCTACCTCACGGTGCTTCAGAGGGATGCAGAGGAGCCCCGGGGGGAGCAAGTAACAGTTACAACACAAGGCCAGTGATTAGGGGCAATTGACCTGGATTTTCATTCCAGGTGAAATGACCCTAGTCATTTACTCCCTGATGATGGTGACTGACAGTCACAGAAATATTGGAGGTAATACCCACATATTTTACAAGCTCTTGATAAAAAGAAAAACAGTAATTTGAATCTAGAAAATAGCATTGTACTTAAGAAATGTCTCAGAAAGCAAATCGAAAACCCATGTATTGATCTGTTCGATAACCTAGAAAGTGGTTTTCTTTGTAGGCATCTGCCAAATTAAAATAACAATAAAAAACTAAGTAATAACAACATCTTTAAAACATTTGAATTTCTTTATTCAATGTGTAGTATCATTTTCCCCATATTTTCCATGTTTCATTTTTCTTTTCATATACTTAAGTTGATGCATGCATACCAGTATATAAATGAAGAGGTATTCAGGAAACAGTTATTTCAGACTCTCTAGATGGTGTTTTCATGTATGTCCAGTGAAAGTAGAATGCTTCGATTTCCCTTTAAATTTTCAAACATCGCAGTCATTCTTATGTCAGACTTTTCCAATAGCGATAATATTTTTATTCATAAAATGTATTAGTAGTCATGTAATTTTTCAAAACTTTTGAATGAACACCTTTTTGTTTTCACTAACAAAACACTGTCAATTTGTTTGAATTTAATGAAAATTTGTCATGATGACTGAATTGTTAGACACACAATCCTAAAACTGATGGTGGGAAGGGACGCCAGGCGAAACATGGGAAACTCAAATGCTACTGGTAATATAGATATGCATCCTATTTTTATGAAGATGATAGTGCAGGTTCTGTTGTACTTTGTCTGTGGAAAACATTGATAATGTCCTTCTTTAGCTTAACTTTAATTGGCATTGCCTCAAATTGTTCCATGTCTATTGAGAACCAGTTTTCTTGTCCCTGAAAAAAAAAAAAAAAAAAAAAGAGATTAGTCACTGACATTATGAGACAAATATTAGAAACTCATTTGTCTCTCACGTGCATGAAAATATTGCATGCAAACACTGGATTCAATAAAAGCCCTCCATGAAATCTTCAATCAGTTTTGGATTCGGTTAGTCAAAACAAGATTGAAAGACATGTTTTACTTTAACATTATATGTAAAAACATGGTTTACAAAATTGAAAACTTTTCATTGTTTGAACTGACATTTTTACGAACTGCCAAAAAGCAGTAACATATTACTAAACATCTTTAATGCTAAAATAAATCCTATCCAAGTGGGGAAATCGTATGTGCTGATGTGGTAGCAGAGGACCAGAAACACACCAGAAACATTACTCTTGAAGGACACCGTTATTTCTGAAAACAGTTTTGGGTGATAATAATTAGAAAGTAACTGTGTTACCTCTGGAAGTTCTGGAGACAGTGTAAATTCCCCTGCAGTAAAAATTTTAAAACGTTCATCACTTTTAGCACCCCTGTGAGGTTGATTTTCTCCTTGTCTTCTCCACCTAGAATAACAAGTTTAACATTATAATGTAGAACAAACAGAAACAAATTTTTCATTTCACTTCCCCATTCATATTCTTTCTAAATGAAATAAAAATTTTTCATTTGGAATCTAAATGTAAAAGACCGTTTCATAAATAAAATTAAATAAAAATTCATTCAAACATTTTCACAGCCCATATACAGTATTTGATATAGTAAATATCAACTCCCTTCTTTCTTATACTTAAATATTTACTGAATCTATTTAAAACAGTAAGGAATTTTGAATGAACATACAACCAAAATTTGACAATGCAGTAACAATTTGTGACTTCATGCTGCTTTTCAAAAAAATATATTTCTTTACGGAATTCTTACCCCTCTTTAATGAAGTCCATTTTGGAAAGGTTATCTGGTCCTATTGATATTTCCATGCCCTTAGGTGTCTAGAAATCAAAGCAAAATTGTTTTATTTACTAAAAATGATGCAACCATTTTTTGCTTAGCTCAACTGAGTCAAATATCAGAAAGAAAAATCAGAGACAAATTAAGGATTTTTTCTTTCACATTCATTTTAATTTTTGATACAACAGGTTAGAGAAATTCATTTAAGAAAATTATATATTATGTGTAGCATGAAAAAAATGGAGCATAAAATTACTGAATAATCAGAATTCTACAAGTAAATGGAAAGGAATTTTTCAAATTTCCATGAACTTACCATGAAAGAGACACTTTAACATTCAACTTTAATCTACTTTATTTAGCACAAATAATTTCAGACCTTATTAAACAGAACTCCAAAGACACATGTGACAAATTAATTGTATAAAATATCCCATAAATACAAATATTGATGATGTTTTTAATACTTTTCCATAAAGCTTTCCCTTAAGAGCTTTGATTGAATTGCAGTCACACATACTTGTTTTTCTAGTAGATTGCTTGATAAAACTGTCAACTCTGAAGTGTTGACATCTAGTTTGTGCTCCACCCCGCATTCTTCATTGATGATGTGGGCATAATCTTTTACTAAAATGCAAAAGAATGACAAATATGTCAAATATTACATTCTGCCATGTTTTGTTAAAATACATAGGTATCAAGGTAATTAGTGTTAAGAAATAACTACTTGTTGGTAAATTTTCTAAATGAATTAATCTTGATAGAAACTTGCTATTTGGTTTGTACAACAATAACAAATACCCCAAGTCCAACACGTTGGCATCAGACTGATCTCAACCCTATACTTATCAAAAATTTACAATTTCATATTTTTATGTCTGCGTGTTTCAAATACCTCACTAATTCATATATCTTACTTTATTAGGCCCTATCATTTTAGTTACTCATAAAATGTACTCTCAAACAAAGGTCAACTAACTTTTGACATCTCAACATTTTTCAAAAGTATTACTTAAAGAAAAATACTGTTTTGTGGAAATCTGTATATTAATATGGTTAAAATTGACTACAATTAACACTACCTGGTTCTTTCTTCTTGGGAGGGGGAAGCAGAAAACTGAGCCAACCCCGCTGTTTTTTCTCCTCTGGGGGTGGTGGGGTTTCACATTTTGAGCAACCAGAACAGGGAAGTATATAAGACAGCCTGGCCTTCAGTTCTGGCGGCCATTTCTTCACTGTTGCCCAAACATATGTCCAGCGATGTTTTAAGGGACCAAAATACCAATATCTGTGGTAAAGAAATACAATGTTTACAACTAATGACTGGTAGGTAAATTAATTCTAAAATTACAGAACTAATGACTGACAGGTGAATTAAATCTAAAATTACATCGTTACAAAAGGAAACTATAACCTTGTGAAAATAAAGATATTAGCCCCAATTTTTGTTTATGTTGAAAAGTCCATTTTATGAGTAAGTACAATTAATAAATCTTTAAAAAAAAATTAAAAAATGAAGCATCTAAAATGTGTGAGCAGATACTCTACTTTGATTTAGTGGTTTCTGCATCCCTGAAGTGACTCCACTGAATACTAGAGGCTGCATACACCGTTTTCCCTTCATTGCCCTGAAATGACATCAGCCAGAAAGTTAACAACCAAACTGAAAGTACAACATACTCAATATGTTTTATTTACTTATAGTTTTGGCAAATATTCACGAACCATTACACACTAACTCATCTTATTTTCCCATGCCAAAAAATAACCAATTTTACAATCAGATTTGAAAACTAAAAAACTCACAGTAATGGCCATTAGGTCTATGGGTCTTTTTAATCCTTCAACCACAGCCAAAGCACTTTCACAGATCCATCTGAAAAAAAAAGAAGATGACAACTTGACAGGCACCAAGACTGGCATATACACAGACAACAAGAACAACTTATAAATCATATAAGGGAAAACAAGAAGTTTCTTTTGAAGACAAGGAAATCATTTCTTCAAAATTTTGACAATTTTCCAGGAATGGTCCATCATAATTGCCATAAACAATACACAAATATTGTAGAATAATTTTCATGTTTTCAATTTGACTATAAAGCACATATGTCACTTACCTGACTTGTGAGGCTGTGTCACTAAAAATAGATCTAGCCAAACTATTAGTTTCACCAAGTGGCAAAATGCCTATTGATATTCTCTTTACAAAGTCCTGAAATAGAACACATACATATTATACTACTTTGCATGTGCAGGTACAGTCCATCAAAATGACATTCTAATTTCAAAACTAAAAACATGGCATTATTACTTATTTGACAGTCAAACACTTAGTGCTAGCACAGTAACTTTCTAGTATACAGAACATTACCATACAATACATATAGAGACTTAAATCTAATCACATTTCTCTTTTTTCCATAAAAATATTATTCTGCACTTAATTTGAGATTTAAGACATTCCACTTAAAACATCCCTTCTCATACTGCACTTTCAATGCAGTGTAGCAAAAAGCCCTCTGGAAACTGACCTGATCTTTTCTCCTCAGCAAACCAGTCATAACTTCGGCCACAGTTCCGTCTCCCCCGGCAACCACTATGGCATCTGTATCTTCCAGTCCAATAACATCCATGTATGCCTTTGCCTGGCCTTCACGCTCAGTCTGACAAGAAAAAGAATCAAAATTCAAAACTTCAGATGGCCATACTCAATCATACTGAAGGACTATATTTCATAATCTGGGTCACATGGGGACCATATACCCAATAAACCAGCTCCACTTCAAGGAAGAGGTAGGCGAAGAAAGGTTTATCGGTTTACCTTGATAACAGTGACATCAAGACCAGCAAGGTGGAACAATGGGGCAGCATTCTTGTCAAATAATTGTGTGCACTTTCTGGAATGAAGACAAAAAAGTATTGACTTTCTGGAAATATTTTAACATTGAAAAAAATGATATAACACAACTAAAAATAGAAATAATCAAATGGACACAGGTAAATAGTGTTCATCCATGTCTTTACTTTTAAAAATAACCACATATTCTTGGCTATAACACTGACTTCTATGTGCAAAGTCTCACCGCTTAAGCATGTTCATATCTTTTCTGCAATTATTTGATTCACAATGACATAACAGTCTTTCACATCAAGGAACCCCACCTGTTATTAGCTGCAGGGTTCAGAAACACTGTGACCTTACGTGGGTTTTCATTGGGATACAGGCACTGCTGTCCATAAGCCTAACGGACAAAGAAAAAATGGCCAAGTTTCACCAGGAGAAATTTTTCTAGATAGTAATAAGAGGAGAATATTATTATTATTATTATTATTATTATTATTATTATTATCAGCCACAAATTTTAGAAAAACATATCATTAAGAATTAAGCTTAGGTTACTCAAAAATAATTAAAAAGAAAAAAGAGTAGGAAGCTAGTTAATTGTTAGCTAGTTAAAGTAATAGCAGTTGTACCCCCTATCATAATGCTCAATCTTCCTGTCCTTCTTAAAAGTTTGCAAATGATAACCAAGGGACTGATAATGGTAATAAAAGTCAAGGCAACATTTCTCTTGCCTGAGTGAGGTTTTAACTTGAAACCAAATGTAAATACATTAAAGTATTTAAACATTCACTAAATGAAAGTCATTAAAATCTATGTATAAAAATGTCAAATACAGGAAGCAATAATTAATAAAAAATACCTGTGCCTTTTTACAGTACTGCCGTCTTATATCCAGTTCTCTAAGAAAATAAAAAAATGCATATGTGAATTAACATAGTACTGTGGCTTTAATTTTATTTTTGAATAATTGAGAATTGGTAAACACTACATTTACATAATGCTCAAATAGTCATTCATGCAACCATAAAAAAATTTATTATTATAATTAGCATCAAGTTCACACACTGATTATATAGTTAATGAAAAAGCTGTCATTCATTTAATTTTTAACAATTAGTGTGTGACATGAACTGAGTTGCCTAAATACCCTGACATCCTTGCTGAAAATTTTCAAGACAAAACAAGTGAAATTGCTACTATTATGATGAGAATATCCGATTTTTCTACACTGTTCCACTATAATTCTCAAACTGTGTATCTCAACGTATGCTACCAAGTCCCGCCAATCTAAGCCGCTTGTGTCGCCCACGCCCCTTCAAAAATTGAGATGACGATACGCAAACCTTTTGCTTCTGGTTACAGTGTAACTAACAGCGAGTTCGAGTTGGACCTCAACTTACGAGCGACGCTTTGAACAACTGGTAGGTCTTCAGTATATATACAAATGATTTACAGACTCTTTTAACTTACTCGTATTTGTTGGTTGCATATTTTACACCATAAGCACTCGCGCCTGAAAATAAAACAAGTTTTTTCCAATTGTCTTGCAACTTCTTCACCACTTTCGCCATGCTTACAAGGTTACCAAGTTATCATTCTCCACAGGAAGAAGAGCTCTCTATCGTTTAAGTCCCTTAAGTAATTTTTTAACTAAACTGATATGATGGTTCGTTCAAGCTATTGTTAGCGAGTGTAATCCATGATAATGACTTATAGAAATATATTGCGTGTAATAACCGAACATAGCATATTGTTAAAGGTCAGTTTAACGATGCCTTCTTTTTTTATTTTAAGAAACACTAAGCGATGATATCACAACAATGTTTCCGGACGAAGCAGACGCATATCAAAACATGTAATTACCACTAACGGCATTCAGATTAAGATCATGTCCAAACCAGAATGGGACTGTTTATTTTCACGTTGTGGTAATGCAGACATAGCGAAAGAACTTATTAAATCAGGCTGTGACATCAATGAACAGGATGTCTCCGGAAGGACGGCTTTGCAAATTGCTACAGCTCGCGGCCAGACAGAAAGTGTTCAAGTTTTGCTAGAAAATGGAGCTGATGTTAACGCCAGTGACAGAGCTGGAAATACTCCCTTACATCACTGTGGCCACGCAGAGACGCTTAAGTTATTAGTGAGATATGGAGGCGATCTTAAGAAGGGGTATATAGTATTACTGTCCTTGTTAGATTTTAATTATCAGTACTGGGGTACTAGTACTACTTACAATGTACTCGTTGTACATGTACTATTATACATGTAGTTCTATTTTTGCATTGTATAGTTTTTATATTAAAAAAACATTAGCCATTCAAATCTGTATTGAAGCACCATGCCTATATATTTTTATATTTATATACTGTAAACGCATGTGTACAGTTGTGTACTACTGTAGTATCTGTTTCAGATTGAAAAGAATTTTCCTGTAATAATGCCAAATGCCAGTCCCCCCTTTTTTTGCCTCTTTTTTTATCCTACCCATATAGTTCATGTAGTAGACTGGTACTTCTTTGCAGAATTGAAAATGCCCATCAAAATGCTTGAAATGAATTGATAACAGTCTGTACAATCACCAGTTGCTTGTTATTTTAAAAAAACTTATTTTTATACTGCATTATACATCTGTATATATGTGTGTTAAAGTCCACCTTTCTGTTACAGAAATCACAATGGCCTTTCACCTCTGGAGATGGCAAAAAGGAGGGGTGTGTCAACAGAAGTTCTTCAATTATTTATAGAGCTTCACAATGATATCAAGCCTACAAAAAGGACTTTATCAAAAACTGACTTGAAGCAAAAATTCAGTGCCACAAACAAAGGGAGCATATTTTCAGAATTTTTCATTGATGTGAATTTTGGGGCCATACTGTGTATAGTTATAATAGTAGTTGTGCTATCACTAGGAGTTTCCTGGGTTTTAACAGGAATGTCATTGGAGAGTGAAATGAAAATACCCATTGACAGCTATGAACAAGTCCAACATATAGAACTGTGAATGGGACAGGATATTGGCTTTTCTTGCCAAGTCAAAGGCAATGGGATATCCATATTCAAAGATAATGATTAAAGATATTGATTCTTTTTTATCATACTTATTGAGGAAGAGGGGGCCACCATTATTCTAGACAGGAACGTGATCGGTTACATGAAATGTATGTATAATGCAGGACCATAACTTAATGCATGCAATATACTGTGTATTTCAGATTTGTTCAATTTTGTTTTAATATTCTGAAAAATAGTAGGTGCCTACAAGTGTATAATTGCAGCCTCTTCATTATCACTGAGGCAGTTCAGTTTTCATTTAGTGACAAATATCTACTTTTAAATGTTTTAAATATGATGCTTTGACTCATGGCATGCATGTTGAACTCTTTGCTAAAGTTCTACTGGAATGTGCAAATGTTTCCAGGCAGACAGGATGGAAAAAAATAATACTTTTTACCATTTTGTCCACATCAGGATTTTTTTCATACCATGAAAACGTATTTGATGATTAGAGATCTTTGTTGTCCCTTGTTTTGTTTATGGACATTTTTTAAGAACAAATTTAACAAAATTAAAAAAAGAGACATTTTGTTACACATGGTAGGTTCTCGCAGTTTATTTTCACTCTATGCCAAAAATTGTGAGATTGCTTGAATTCATAAAAATGTGAACTTTTTTATAATGGAGTCTTAAAGAATTTTACCTGTAAGTTTTACTCACTTGTTAGAAATATATATTTTAATGAATCCGTATATATGATGCTTTTTGGTCTAACAATTTCTTTTTCTTGTAAGATAATTTGGAGAAGATTTGGAGTAAATATTTTCCTTCTTATTTTGTTGTTGTTGCTTCCTACTTCTTGTGTGAAACAGACTATTACAGTGAAAGAGAATGATTAAAAATTTTGATGATTTCTTTAAAATTAAGAGGTCCTCTCATTGTTAAAATATTGTTTTGAGGTTAGAGAGATCATTAGTATTTTTGAAAATTAACCATTTATGGTTGTTTTCATTTCTTTTTTCCACTTTGTGTAGTTAGCGTGTGGCATTACCAATATAATTGAATTTTTTTTGATTGATTAAGCAATGAATGATAATCTGCTGTGAACACTGATTTCTCACCTTAGGAACATTGGGTGTGGGGTGTTGCTAGTTAAATCCATTCATTGTGATGAGGATGTACACAGCCCTAGTACATATACTGTACAATGCCATTTTTATTTTTATTAATTTGTTTTTATTTTCTCAGTGCTACATGTATCTCTCTGCAATGATGGATTTTTTTTATGAAAATATTTTAAAAGTTGGATGGAGGGCAAAAGTTCTTTGTACATTTGTTAAGCTAAAATACACTATGACTCATTCAATCTTTTTAATGGGGTAAGTTGTGATTTTTACAGATGCCATATTTTTCAAAGTCAGAAATTCTCAAAAGTAAAACATTGAGTGGTAGTAACAAAATTGAAAATGATTTTTTCCTTTTTTATAGAGTAAAAAAGACCACAACTGCTATTTAGAAATATATCTTTTAATGATTCCAAAATTATCTACATGAAAGATAGACAATTTTCCCCTTTGAAAAAAATGAGTTATTACCTATTGATATCAGAGTTAACTGGGGATCCTGATATAAAAATCAAGGAGGCAAGCATTAATATAATCTAATGTGTAAATTCTGTGTGCTTGGATCTGCGCATGGTGGTATACCATTAAAAATGAAGGTATATATCTATAATTGATGCCTTATATACAACAACAAGGGAGGGTATAGAACTGGAAATTTGTCATATGCTCTGAATGCCATAAGAGGTTTTTGAAATGGGAAAAGACCGAGCATACAGGAAGTTCATGAGTGCGTGTTTACTGTATGGCTTATTTTTTAGCATCTATTTCTTTCATTATTTCTTGGATAATGATAACATTGCAGGCACAATAGGTAAGTTCGCCACTACTGTTTGTTGTATTGGCTCAGAATTAGTGATTGTCTCATTACTTTGTTTACAGATATGTAAAAGAAGGCAGTATCAATACTTCATTCTCATATTATTATTATTTTTTAAAGAAGGAGCGTAATTCTTTTTCATTTCTTTGCATTAATCTTTTCAGTATCTTCCTATCACAGATTTGTATGAGACAAAGCTTTGATTTTTTTTTTTTTGTAGATGGATCAGTAATACAGGCTGCAGTCACCATATCTGATCAAAATGATCTCATTAATAGCACACATGAGATGGAAAGAGAAAATCAGGTAAATTGGTTGTTAAACTTACTTATTATGCATTTTTAATCTTTCATTTTGTCCAGTCACTGATTTCCTTAAAATAAGTGAGCAAACGTTTGCATATAAATTATGTGTGACTGGACAAGAAGAAGGTCACCCCACTTTTGTTATTCTGATAAAATCTGTAAAAACTAAGATATTTTCATGTTGGATAGTTCATGCACATTTTATCTGACAATTTGCTCGACTTAGAAATTAAAAAATACAATGTTTTAAAATTGTGTAGCTAAAACTATAAAATGAGTTGTATTAATTTATAAATGTCTATTAATCAAGTGCAAATAAAGGTATACTATCAATATCAAAATGTCCCAATTAGAGTCATATTTTCTGTCTGCATAATTATCCTCCGAAATCAACAGGAAAACATGATCTAAATATTATGAGAAAAATTTAGCAAAAAATCATTAAATTTGAAAGAAAATTAAACATTGTAAGTGAGTCACAACAGACGACACCAGACTATATAATTTTTGATGTTTTATGTTTACATGGGCGTTACTAGGCATACGCACGGATGCACTGTGCGTACAATTTTTTTGGCCATCCATGATATTATTTTATATAAATTTAGTGTATTTTTCACGGAATATAAAAGAAAATCCTCTCCAAATTAAAGTCACCTGTATGTACAAATCCTCTGTATCAATTGTATATGCACAATTGTTCTGCCTAGTCTACATTTTGCCGGGAATTTTAAAAATCTGTGCGTACAATTTTTAAAGGTCTGGTTACGCCCCTGGTTTATATATGTTTACACCAATTTTACATGCTCAACTCAGAGCGCTCTTCATTAAGCTAGTGTTGTCTGAAAATTGAATGTCTCAGTTTCTGCAAATTGAAAAGTATCTTTTGCTATTTGTTTCATGGTAGAAATATACCAGGCACTTGATATATTCGCAGTGGGATGTTCTTGACCTATCAGGCGTCCAAGTTGCAGGAAAACTAAGAAAGAGGGCAGGTGAATGTGAAGAAATATGATAAAATTGACATATATACTAGTAATGGGGCCGTAGCTGTCAGTAGTTCGAAGGTTCATTGGTTTGAAGGTTTGATAGTCAAAATTAATGCATGAATAAGGTGTTTAGTTTACCGGCTATAAAGTAATTCATTGGTACAAATGATTTTTTGGACCAATGAGACTTCTGACTCAAGAACCTTTGGATTATCGAGACGCCCCTGACATGACACATCGTGACATTCAAATGGGCATCATCTCGGATAGCCTTTAGTCTCGATACTTGGCATAGAACAAAGCAAGAATTTGGAGGTATGGAGGAAAGTGCATAAGAAATAATGGCAGACGAGTGAGTGCAGTGTGGCAATGAATAAAAGCTAACAGAATTTATTTGTGGATATTTTTCTGGTTGAAAAAACCAGATAAATATGCACGGATTAATTCTTGCATCAGTTGTGATCTTTTCAGAACTAGTGAAGTAGAAGTTACTGTAAGTCTATGACAAAACAGTTAAGTAAGAATTCACCATGAAATGCCTTTCACTTTTGTTTTCCTTTTTAAGACGACATTCAATAATAGCCCCACCAGATTATCGCTTAAAAGTTCATTTCACCTTGTGCTCATTCTCACAGGTTTTCTTTCATATGATGTTATGCAGTGCTGACAGGCATAGATTATCTCAGATGATTCCCATTTTGTCTTCAGATGTGTAAATTAGGTAGTTTTGTGGGTCCAACAAAATTTGGTGAAATTTCTGTAATTTCTCTTGCACTTTGTGATCTCTTTTCAATATATAATATAATGATGTTATCAATGTCATCACATTAACCACTTAATATGGGTTAAAATGCTACTTTGAATTATCATTGTCATGCAGATATATGACATATGGATGCACATGCATTTCTTAACTATACATGTAAAATCCTTTTAGGTTTTCTTACTATTGGTATTCCTTCTGTCAAACGAATAAATGGAATCGAGTACCTCTTGGAGACAATTGGCTACATTATAAACAGGACATCCCAAGTTGAGAAGAAATATATGGTCATTTTAGTGTTTTTGGCTAATTTTGATGAGGACTATAATGCAAATGCTTTGAAAAATATCAGCATCAAATATGGAGACTACCTTAACAGTGGTTTTATATTAGTTATGCAAGTTCCAGAGAAGTATTACCCACCATTAGAAAATTTAAAAAGAAATTACGATGATCCGGAGGCGACGGTAAAATGGCGATCAAAGCAAAATGTTGACTTTGCTTTCATGTTTTTCTACGGGAGGAATATTTCAAAGTACTACATTCAGATTGAAGATGATGTCATACCATCATATGGTTTTTTTAAAGGCATACGTGCTTTTATCCAAAAAAACAGGGAAAAGACGTGGATTTGTTTAGAATTTTCTGTTCTTGGATTTATAGGCAAGCTTTTCAATTCAAGCATCTTGGGTAATTTGGCAAGATATTTAATCTTATTTTACGATGAGCAACCATGTGACTGGCTTATTGAACACTTCCTTCATTCAATGGCCCAAAAAGAGCGCATTTTCAACAGCCAGTCACTCTTTCAACATAGAGGAATCTGGTCTTCCTCTGAGGTCAAGGTCAAGAGAGGACCTATGAAAGATACTGATCGTAAATTCAAGGAAAATATAACAGAAATATTAGATCAAACTAAAATCAGAAAAAAACATTTTTATCCAAAATCAAAAATATCAATTTAAAAAGATGCCATAATAATTATAGCAAACACATTAGGATAGCAAACACATTGTGGACTGATATTTTCTTCATTGTTGGCCATATGAAACAAACCTTGTTTCCTACCCAAGGGCAGCACATAAGTTAATGTTACTGGATCAAATAGGGAGCGCTTATCAACCTGAATTGCATTTATTTATTTATTTATTATAACTTTTTTGTAATGTACAACTTTGTTTGACGTCAAATATTACTCAACCTGTTTAATTAATATTATGTACAGTTCTATCAATAAATGTACATGTATATGGATAGATTTCTCAGAGATAAGATTAAAAATAATAATAATAATAATAATAAAAAACTGTCCAACAAAAACTATACTCATGTTCTGCTATCACCTGAAAATGTAACTAAATAACTTAATACAATTGGTAATTCAGGTATGCAATTGCAAAGATTTGAAAATTAAGCACTTGGAATCTGATTTGATAAAAATAAAATAAACAATCCTAACTGTGAAAAGTGGTTGCATCAGCTTTTATTATTATTACCTCCGCCAAGGAGGTTATGTTTTCACCCCTGTTTGTCTGTCTGTCATCAACATAACTCAAAAAGTTACGGACCGATTTTGATGAAATGTCAGAAGTGCACCAAGGAACAGATGATCAGTTTTTGGTGGTGATCAATAATCAATCAATAATCAATAATAAAAAATATCGAAAATTTAGGGGTGAAATGGCGTTGGATGGAGACTTTGCTGCCTTGGCAGAGGTCTGCGCTCTCTGAGTGCTTTTCTAGTTATTATTATTATTATTATTATTTTTTTTTTAATTTTTTTTTTTTTTGCCTTACGACAGCACATCTCTGAAAGAGAAAGAAAATGTAGAATTGTTTAATTCACTGAAAACATGTCAGCAGCCTGCAGTGTTTGTCCTCAAGTGACGTTAAATTGCTACACTTAATAAGATAATATCATATTCATTAGAAAGCAATTCACCTAATCAGGGCACCAGTATCAGAGACAAAACATACTAATCCAGTGGCAATATTATTTATCAACCTAGAGTTGGCATAGCATCAAAATCATGGCCTTAGTTCTGATACCCTGATCAGATTAATCCTAACGTTAAGGTCATATTGTGTATTTTCATTACCTAGGCTATGAAAGCCACTTATTTCCCCCCGAGATGAGTGACATATTATCTAATGTGAAAGGTGAAGTATTCCATTTCCATGACTTGTGAATACAACTTTTTATTATTTTTTCATATCCATGAAATGAAGTAATTATACCATGAGTTTTGTGATTTTCAAATCACATTTTCAGTGAGATATGAATGATTATAATAAGTTTTATTTGCTGTGATTTGTGAATTAATGATTTTATTTCTCGTGAATTGTGATCACTATATTTCCAGTTTCCAATCATTACCTTTCGTGCTACAAGATTATGTTGGTATTAGATCAGGCTGGTCGCATTACATGGGCGACAAAAATTAAAGAAATACTTTTTAGATACGGTTTTGGGTTTGTATGGTACAATCAGGGTGTTGAGAATGAGATATATTTTTTAGAAATTTTTAAGACAAGAATGAAAGATTGCTACATTCAAGAATGGAACGGCCAGTTACAGAACTCGTCTAAATTAAATTTGTATTGTACATTTAAATCTGTATTTCAAAAAGAAAATTATTTATTGTTGAATCTCCCAAAAGCGCACTTAGCTGCTTTCGCCAGGCTCAGGTGTGGAAACCATAATCTTATGATTGAAAAAGGTAGACATGACAACATACCCTCGAACGAGAGGGTATGCACACTATGTAAGGATGAAAGAGAAAACGAATATCACTTTTTGTTAACATGTGAGATGTACAGGGACTTAAGAACAAAATATATACCAAACAGGTACACCTGTCAACCAAATATCCAAAGGTTTAGACAGCTTATGTCTTCCAATGACAGAGATTTGATGATTAACCTGATTAATTATGTTTATTATGCCTTTAGAAAAAGAGAATCTTTTTTTGCAACGGATAGTGCACGTACATGAGCTCTCCGCATGCGCAATAGTTACGTTATATGAACCATTTACATTTGTAATCTGGGCAAATGCCTTTATAGGGAAATAAATTAATATGTATTAAAGTCACCTTTGGTGCACTAAACCTGGTACAACCTCTTATGTAAGAGGGTCACAAAGTTACAATTAGAAATTGGAAATAACTGAGGATTCTTCCTGTGTAGCATCCTGTTATTTAGTTTGCTTATATAGGGAATAGAAGGGCAGCTTCAAGATTAACTTAAGAGTTAAGTTGAACAGCCGTGTTTTACCCCTACCACTACTTATACTGCTACAAGATCTAATAAAATAACCAGTAGTAACATCTTTGAATAGGCATGGTTTGATGTCTTCAAACAACACAGATAAATGAAAAATTCATCAAATTTTGACAATTTGCTATAAATCTAAAAGCATATGTTGATATTACTATATATCATATACTGAGGCTAAATGAAGGCTGTCTTCTGCATTATTTAATTGCATACAAATCATACTGAATTGACTTGCTAGTCCAAATAATAATAATAATGATGCAATATTACATAATGCTTAACAGCATAGCCACCACCAATCTTTAACAATACACTGCATGTAACATGGATATTTAGGACTACCAGTCTTCAAGCCCATGGAAATTCAGTGTCACGCCTTGAAAATGCCAAAATGTAAATAAGAGATAACTGTAATGAAATGAGTCTATTTCCATTCAACATCTTTACATAAAACAAAATAATACACTTAGTCATTTTTTGTACGATCAACTAAGAAAATTGCAAAGTTTTGGGTGGATCTAGGTGTTTAGAAGGTAACGGAAATTTTGTTCAATTTTTCATTTCTCATTCCACCCAAAAAGTATTTAGATCTTACCTTAAGATATGTGATTCTAACTGACACAGGATATTGACCAGGGCAATCTGTAGCAGGTGGCACTTTCATTTCTGATGTGACACTTTCTTATCCATTTCTGATGTGACACTCATGCTTAGTTTAAATACAAAGTAAATTTCAAATACATTTCAGTGATTTTAATACATTTTCATTTTACTGACATATTCATACAATTTCATATGTTTTAACATATTAAAATAGTCTTTTTAACAAATTGTACAAAGTTAAAGTGTTACTTATACACTGTAAAACACATTTGAATCAGATCTTGACAATACAGACAACAGTGAGCTGTCAAAATTAAAGGTAAGCAGAATGGGCATTTAAGAAAGTTTGATTGCTGATTTTCAGCTACATTCTGTTTTCCATTTTCAGTATAAGCTATGTAATGTTACTTATATGCTGTAACACACATTTAGGACTGATAATTTGGCTTTATCCTCAAGGAAGACACTGCAAGAACAATTCATTTTAACACAGGACACTTCCCAATGTGCTTGCTTTTGTTTATGGTCACCATTTACACAGATATCCTCTAGTGCAACTGTTCAATTTTACAGACAGTCTTATATTTCTAAAAATTCAACACTTTTACCACTTAATCTTCATTTTCAAAGCCAAATACAAAAATCCATCTTTTTTTATGTATCTTAAAAGTGCATATGTAAAAAAATGACATGGACATTTTTTCTAAAAGATAACCATAGATGGCACTCAGTATACAGTAGTCAAGTTGCCTGTCCCATCATCCTCTTAATCACATATTTTCACACATATTGACCAGACAGCAGTGAACTGGCTTGAACAGATCACAGCCTCTTTTCTGGTCTAGCTTGATAACCGGAAATTCTCAGTCAGCATGATCTCATCACTTGTCTATAAGCGTTCCTTTGACACGTTTCTTCATTGCTTCGTCAGTCTAAAATTGGACAAGTACATCATTGTGTAAGTCTTAAAGAACCTACTAAGTGTGAGTAACATCTTATCATTACATCTTACAAAATATCTGATCACATATAACATTTATACTCTGTTGATAAATTTTCCCCATCATGCAGTTTAAAAACTACTTGGAATTATCAAAACCATTCCTTTTTACGTTCAGTTAATGAAATTCAAAGCAGCACTTGTGAACTACAAACTTCAATATAAAACAATGTATATTTCAGAAAATAAAGATACAAAAATTGGAGTTTATTTTCTCCCCCGAATGATATAAAAAAGTACTTCAATTAATAAATTTATAAAAAGAGTTGAATAAGTTTGATTAATTCAAACACACCCATGTAAAAAGTAAGGAAGTCTATAGAGTAAATTACCTGCTCTGCAAACTTCCTCTTAGCCATTCCCTTCCTGAACAGTTGTTTTTCAATTACTTTTGCATTTGCTGCATATGAATCTGCTATTTCTTTCTGAAAAACAGAAGAAAAAACATACAAGTAGGCATATTTGATAATTTATCTTGGCATATGGAACAGTGAATTGTCAAGTATCTAATATTAAGGAATATGACACTGTATTTACACTACTTCACACACTTTAATGTCATTATGTTGGACCAGATATTTATATACTATGAAACAAACTACAAGATTCTCCATCGCTTTTTAATATCTATTTAAATACTTGTGACCATTTATTAATTTTTCTTTCACTGAATTATGTCAACAAAAGCACATCCTACTTACTGCCTCTATTTCTTCTTCCTCCTCATCTACTGTGGACACAGTGACAGAGCTAAATTTACCCATATTTTTCGTGTGCTTTGTTAGAGTGACCTAGAAAAAACAAGAAGGTGACATAAACACAAAATTCAGTATGTCATCATATGGTGACCTCAGACTTGGTAAGGCCCTAAACTTTGCCAGAGCTGTAAAAAGCTTGTGGACTCCATGCTAAAGTTGTGTAATACCCATAGTTCTTGCTTACTCTGAAGTGCCGAATAATAGTGCCTAGCGGAATAATTGTGCCCCCTGGAAAAATTCTGCATATTTAATAATAGTGCCTAGCAGAAGAATTGTGCACATGTAACGACAGAGCCGCGACAGAGACTCTTGGCGGCATGCGTTGACGAGCTACTTTAATTTAAGCTGAAAAACAAGTTTGAGAGTAGTGCTTGCAACAGGTCATTAATAAAAATTAACTTGTCCTGTGAAACGATCATTAACATTTCCAAAACGTTTAACAGTATTTCCAACCGGCACAATGTTGCCAAATAATTGAGCCGTGTGGATAATGTGGGGAAAATTATTAATCGTGCCTGGAAAATATGATCGTGCCGGGTAGAAAATTTCCGGAAAAAAAATGATCGTGCTGGCACTATTATTCGGCACTTCAGAGTATTTACTTATGTCTTGACCTGACATTTAAATTAGAAGATTCTAAATCTGTGTTTAAAACTGCATGATACAAAAGTTAACCCATAAATTGGAATAACAACCTCATTTCATACTGGCACAAAAACAATTATAATTGTCCTAAACAACATTTTTTACAATGCATTACCTTTGAAGGTGTAGAATAAACCAGAGTAGCATCATCTTTAAAGGCAATTAACACTGCAAGCTAAATTCATTATTTAAAAACAATATTTAAAAACAAATTCAACAATCTATCTGATTCAATCAATCAATCTTGCATACCTTCTTTGGCTGTGTTATCTGACTGTAAACATCTGCCTTGATTCCCTCCACTTCTTTCTTTAATGCACCGTCCACTATGAAGGTGACATTACTGCCTTTCTCTGTGTGCTGATAGAAGATCCATAGGCCGCACCTTCAAATTAACAGAAATAACACCACTAGATAAACGCAGTTTTGACATGAACGTCTGCAATGATCAAACCTAGCTGAACTTTTATTGAAAGATGATTAGGATCCCGAAAGTTTAATTAAAGCATAAAACCTAGCTGAACTTTTATTGAAAGATGATTAGGATCCCGAAAGTTTAATTAAAGCATAAAATCTATGAATTATTTTAACGTCTGTCTTGGCATCACTGGGAAGAGAAAGAAAGAACGAACTGTATCATAGACCTGCTCTCTTAAAGATATACTCTGTGTTTGAAAATTCCCCATAGTCAAAGTCTCTGTCTGTGGAATAAAGAATATTCCTTAAAATCTGAATCAAAAACGTATTTCTTAAATTCTTTAAAATGCCCAATTGCATAATAAAGTATTAAAAAAAATTTAAGTGAAAAAATATCCAAAATCGCTTTCTTACCTTTTACATTTTTTTCTATATTGTCTTTCAATACCCTCAGGTCTGAAAATAAATATTGCTCTTATTAAATTCAGATACCAGCATTACTGTGTAGCAGTTAAACAATACCTTGAACGTTAAACCACAATCTGCAACTAAGACACTTCTTTGTGTGGTGAGACAGTCAAAGAAGACTAGAGACATCATAAGATTAAATAGCACGAAAATTCATGCGTTAGCACTCCTATTGACGATTCTGACATATACTCTCTGTGGTAACACAGACAGTACATATCAGAATCGTCAATAGGAGTGCTAACGCATGAATTTTCGTGCTAAAGATTAAAATCATAATCTCCATTTACTGCTCTCTTTTTACTCTGTGTGTATTTCAAAGAGACCACAAGCTTATAAGGAATGTAACTCAGATTCATTTACCTCTTCAAATGAATCACCTCGTCATTATCACAGGTCAGCTTGTGGGCATGCTTGTGGCCATCTATTACCCTTGCATTATCCCTTCTTCTTAGTGGAAGTTTCTCCACAGGACAGTCTAATGAAATGTAATTTGCTTACAAATGTCAGGTAATATGACAATTAGCATGATATCAAAAGTACTTCAGTGAATCAGAAAAGCAAACTTTCAAATTGCTCATGTATAGTTTGAACTTGGCACTCCTGATGAAATTATGCGAATCAGTTACTTCGTCATGAAAGTGGGTTATGGCTACAGAAAGTTTGGAGCTAATACTTTACCATTTCTCAAAGAAAATATAAGTGAATCAGTTTGTTTACCTTGAATCATAAAATACTTAAAGTGCTCAGTAAAATTGTGCATTCATGAGGGGTTGGGTAAGAAAATTTGGGAATCTGCATCATTTATTATATATAAATAATTATAAATTTTATGAACAGACCAAATGACAAAAATAGCTTTAAAAATGTAATGTTCATAATTATTGTTGCAAGCCTAAATAAGGAAATGCCTTATAGGTTTTCATCAATCTTGGGCCGAATACAACCATTATTAAAATTGAAAAAAATCCATTACAAACGTCACGTTATGGTCCTAATTTTATTTATACACTATGGGCTATGTGGTCAAAGCAGAAAACAGAAAACTGAGTCAACTTCGAATCTTCGAGAGGCACTAGACTCACCAAGGATCAGGCTCATCTGTCCGCACAGACAGTAATATACATTCAGTGGTTTTTCTCCCTGGTATTCCTCCTGATCCTTAGTGTCTGTGCAAACAACACTACGGGATACGACCTTCGGCATGTCTATAGGTGTGCTTGTTCGTTTTAAAATTAAGTTTAAATCACAAAATTCAATCAGTCTCAGAGGCTTCTCGCAGGTGCGTTGTGTAATACGTCACATCCGCTGCGTCAGCAAAATCTGCGTTGCCCCGCCGGATGTTTGAAGTGCAGCGCAGAGCAATGAGAAACAGTTAGGTAGTTCTGTACGGTTAATCCTGTGAAGTTCCTCATTCGTTTTAATGTGTAAACTATGAGCAAGGTGGAAGACATCGTGTTCCCGTATTGCCAGGATGTCAACAAGTATGAAAAGTTGACGAAGATTGGCCAGGGAACTTTCGGGTAAATATGCCTGTTACATGAATGTTTGCTGCTACTGTTGGTATTTACAAAATAATCTGTAATTCTTTGAATATATCGTTCACTCCCATATATAGACTAAAAAGAAATGAGTATATCTGCTATGATGACACCAATCAATTTACTTTATGAAAGGAGTTTGTTGGAACTCTTTGCTTTATGGTTTAACTTAAATGATTTACCTTTTTGAATTATGCCTTTATGATCAGCGTTGTTGATATATGTTTTCAGAGAGGTCTTCAAAGCCCGAGATAGGAAAACCAAAAGATTGGTTGCACTCAAGAAAGTCTTGATGGAAAATGAAAAAGAAGGGGTATGAATTCTTCCCTCCCCCAGTTACCCAGTATCAACAGTACTTGATAATATTGTTACAGTATTGTAGTGGTTTAATTCATGTGCAATATTGTTTCCTCATATATGCCTTTTATTTATTCTTTTTTTTCAAAAAATTATACATTAATTTGTGAGTATTGATGGTGCTTATAAGTGTAAGCATTCAACATATACTGATTTATATTAGACAGATATGTTCATAGGCATTTTGCTTGATATTGTCATGCTTTTTCTCCTTAAGCTTTGCGATATATACATATATCATGGGTTTCTTATTAATTGCAGTTTCCCATCACAGCTTTAAGAGAGATAAAGATTCTCCAACTTCTGAATCATGAAAATGTGATGCATCTGATAGAGATTTGCAGAAGTAAAGGTAACATAGATGGTAACAATTATAATTATAATGTTCATATTAACATGATAGATAAATCTATATCGTTAATATGAAAGAGTAAGGTATCCAAAGATAGGAAGTTGACTTTTTAATGGAAATGATTTGCATTAGAATATAGTATGGGGAAATATTTTGCACTGTATTTATTTATCTTCTTATAGAATTATCTGTTTTTTATATTCAATCTTTCAGCCACACCATATAACCGATTTAAGAGTACATTCTATCTTGTCTCTGAATTCTGTGAACATGACTTAGCAGGACTACTAAGTAACTCCAATGTAAAATTCACTCTGGGAGAAATCAAGAAAGTTATGCAGCAACTGCTCAATGGATTATATTACATCCACAGTAACAAAGTGCTGCATAGAGACATGAAAGCAGCTAATATTCTGATAACAAAATCGGGAAAGTTGAAATTAGCCGATTTTGGACTTGCAAGAGCTTTCAGCATGAACAGTAAAGGCCAACCATGCAGGTATACAAACCGAGTTGTGACCCTTTGGTATCGCCCTCCAGAACTTCTTCTAGGTGAAAGGGATTATGGGCCAGCCATTGACGTGTGGGGTGCGGGGTGTATCATGGCTGAAATGTGGACGAGAAGTCCCATAATGCAAGGGGACACTGAGCAACGCCAACTACAGCTGATCACACAACTGTGTGGGTCTATCACTCCATTTGTGTGGGCCGGAGTGGACAAGTATGAATTATACCACAAGCTAGACCTTCCCAAAGATCAGAAAAGAAAAGTCAAAGATCGTCTTAAAGTCTACATCAAAGACCAGCATGCACTAGATCTTTTAGACAAACTGCTAACACTGGATCCTTCTAAGAGACTAGATTGTGACAAGGCTTTGGACCATGATTTCTTCTGGACTGATCCCAGACCCACAGATTTGGCAAAGATGCTATCCCAGCATACCATATCCATGTTTGAGTACTTGGCGCCCCCTAGGAGGAGAGGGGCACACCAACCACGCCCTGTTGGTAACAAACCTAACCCTGGTGTACAGGATCATCAGTTTGAAAGGATTTTCTAATTTTTTTTTCTTTTAGTATTTAAGAGTGTGTTAATATATGTAAATATTTATAGTGTTAAATGAAACAATTTTGTTAGAGTGCTGAAGTGAGCATTGTTTTACCTTTCACTACATAATGGCAGCTTTTTAGTCAGAAAGAAATATTTGCTCACTTAATTTTTTGAGGATAAACCTTATAAAGTTATGATGGCAAGTATAATGTGAAAATTTCTCAAGAATCTTAGTTGAAAACTTTGTACCAAGGTTAATTTTTGAAGTAGCAATACTTTTTAAAACAAGCCTAGTATAATGGACAGCACTAGTGATATGCAATTTATCAGTAATTGTGAAAACTATCTGTTGTACACAAAATTGTGTATTTGTTGGGGAAACGAAAGTTTGTGACATTTTCATGGGACAATGTGCAGCTGTATCCTATACTAGGGTGGCAGATTATAGGCACATCTTCCAACCTGTAACTTTTGACCAGATGGAAGCACTCTGTAGGTAGTTACTGTAGGAGATTCCTCAGTTAACTTCAATCTGAAGTAACAACCTATTCATAAGGGGCTGTATCTATCTGTCACAATATAACAAGTGATTAAAATCAGAGCAGTTAAAAGATTGACCATATTTAGCCAGAGAGATTACCTGTGAATATCTTGTGAAAAATCAATCTGTGGCCCTGGTAGAGGTAGTGCAGTTGATATTGTGACATCAAATCCTACATACAAAGTTCAAATGTATATAAGATACATGGTTGCTGTTTTTTTCTAATAATTTAGAGCTGATTTAAATTTGATATTGCAGTGAATGAGATAGTTTATAAATATGATGAAAAGAGCTTTTTGTCAACACAGAAAAGGGTACGCATTTGGTTGCTGAATATATGAATATTTTCTGTCATGGTATACCTTAAAAGTACCAATAAAGTATCAATACTGACTTTGATACAAATTTAAAAGATTCAAAAGCCAGCAGGTTTTGGAAAGACAAATTGTTCTGTGGTAGATAAAAATGTTGTTATTGTTAGTTACTCGTATCATATAACCTTAATGAGATACTCCAACAGTGGTTTTAAGCAGCAAACAACACTATTTTTATATCGTTATGAAGGTGACTGTGATTTATCTGAGTAGGTTTTGACTGGAACTTAGTGCCAATATGAAAAAGCCCCACCCGGAAATTTTTCTCTTAAATCTTTACACTTAAAATACTTATGCACTGAAAAGTTATGCACGTTTAAGAGAACATCTGGGAGCTGGATGTTGTAAATTCATTGTTTTCATTCTTGAGAAATATCAAGCAATACTATATTTTCATTAAAGATGTGTTTGGTTACTACTTGTAGTTTACATGTGCATGGAATGTTATAGTGAAACTGGCCAACTGTACACCAACAGTATAGCTGTTGAAGATGCCATTGCAGTTTTTTTCTTCCATTTTTTGTTCATAAGAAGTGATTAAGTGATATGAAGATGTGGGTATACTTTTGTTTTGTGTTTGCAACTCATTGGACAGAACCACATTCCATCTCAATTAATAATCTGTTGGTATTAATAGTTTTTAATTCATATTTGATACAGGTAAATGATACAATTGTTTGACATCTGATTTTTAACAAATAATCAGCTTTACAACAGCTTTTATTTTTCTTGGATTATGTCCTCTGATTTTTAGAATTTTAATAAAGTTTTAAAAAATTCAATTTACAGCTTTTGTTTTTACAAAATTTTAAAAGAATATTTTACTGGGGATAATTTTTGTCAAGTAAGTGTGTTATATGGAAATTTCAGCTGTGGTATGGTTGCAATAGGGATTTTTTCTCATATTCAAGCAGTATATCTTCGCGCGACATACAAATCGACATCCCCGCGCTTCGTTACTTAAAAAGACGGAATAAAATGATTTGTTCTGACTGTATGGTTTATTAATCCATTCCATTCATGTAACGATTTGCACCAACAGAGGGTATTTTGACATATAACATCAAATATGATGACTTTCTAACTTTTCTAAAACTTAGTAATCATACCGTCAGGTCTACGTATTTATGGTGTATTTATGATATCAAGAGTTTGTATTATCAAACACCAACATTCCACCAAGTGGTAGGCAGGAGAAAATCAATGATATTTATGCAATTAGTTTCAAATATCTCAAATGTTCAGTGCACAAAATTAAAAAAAAATGCACTTTCTAATCACCAGTCACCATTTCTGTTTCAATATACGCATGTATAAGGCGCAGTCTTTTGTCACTAATGGCAAATCATCACGCGTGGTAGCATTTATTAAATTAAATGACAAATTGCAAAGTGTATTGTAGTGCTGAACCACAGTAAACTAGACGTAATAGGCCATTGAGTCTAATTCACGTCATTCGGTCATCGTTGACAAAGGGCATGTCTGCCAAAAGACGCAATGCGTAATTTTCAGCCACATGGAGCAAACGCGCCCATGCTCACAAAGACACCAAAAGCACACACTGCGAATGCCCACTGAATTAAAAATTGATTACCACCAGAAACCATGGAATTTCCATGAGTATCTTTTGTCGTTGTTTCAACATTGGATTCAAGAGGGTTCTCCACATTGGTGCAGGGATTCATTACATCGCGCGAAACCATAATTTGATAATCAACATTGCCAAACGAAATAAACATGGCATTCGTACGCAGCTCTATGTCAAGCTCATCTCGAAAAGATTCAAATATTTTAAGGCCTTCTCGATAATTCTTTGACTCTTCCTTCAGTCTCACCTGACAGGTGAGTACTGCAAGAATACTAGAATTGTGCCATTCTTCGTCAGTGTCATTAGATGATATCTCGGCACATTTGCTGTAACGGGGATCCAAGAACATCCATCTCGTACTCAGTATGGCAGAGAGGGTAGGGGTAGGCGATATTGTGAACAGATCAAAAAAACGGCCTTTCCAAACCCGACAAACTCCAAGAACGTGCGAAATATTAAGAGGAC